TTTGAGAATTCTAGTTGTATGAATATAAGTTTCTGATTTTTACACAGAATGAACTATTATATGACTGATCTGTAAGTTCTTCTTCATTTTTATTTTGGACAATTTTTATTGTTATATTCATTTATGTTTGTAAATAATCTATTTACAATGTGCAATCTTATTAATCTCATGTGATATATTCATTTCAGAAATATTACTCTGAAAATCACTCTGTCTATATCTTCTATCTGTCACATTTCAGTATTTGTATACAATTTATAATATGATATAAATTTATTGATTTTTACTAAATTTAATGAAATAAATAAATAAATAAATTAGCACTTGATGTCAGCAGTAATGCCATCTCTTGATTCCTTCTAGACCTTTTCCCATGTAGGCCAAATGATCCTTGTTTGATATGTCATATCATTCCTTTATGTTAAATTTTTTTTACTGGTTTTCATTTCTTGTTAGCATTAATTTCAAACTTCTCCTTTGGACCTAAAGGTCAAATCTGTTATGGCTTCTTTCACTTCCTCATTTTGCTCTGATTTAAACAACACTGAAATACTTTTGTTCCAAACACAAACCAGACTTTTTATATTACAAAGACTTCAGTATCTGTATATGTTGTTCTCTGTCTGGAATTTTTTGCCTCCAGATCTTTCTATTTCTATCTCATTTTAGTCTCAGTTTTCAAGAGACATTCATCACTAACACTATCAATGGAATCTTACGTATCATTATGTATTGTCATATGTTCTATTATTTTACTTTATTGCATGAACATTTGTAACTCAAATGTTGTTTACTTACCTATTGGCTATTTCCCTAGCAGTAATAGTAACTTCACAAGTATCATAAAAATATGTTTCACCCATCAGTATATGACCAAAACCCAACCTACTCATAATTAACCATCGAAAGAATATTAGTGTAATTGGACTTAATTGCATATACAATACAAATTTCCTATTTAAATTCTAGGTAGAAGCATTCAGCAAAATAATAAACACTTTTAAATAACAGATGACACATTTCTGCTACCTACTATTTCCCTAAACTGCTGTCTTGTGATTAACATCAATATTTCCACATCTACATTTCTTAAAGAACTTGTGGTTGTTAGGTTTTAGTATAGAAACCTGACTGGTTAGGAAACCCTTGAGAGGATTAAATAGGCACACTGCTGGATGTGTGTCTGGGTGTATCACAGAGCCCTAGCCTTTGGTCTTAAATCCAATAACTAACTTTCATCCTTGGCGGTGGTTCCCAGATCTGTTTCTTAGCCAATAAGAGGTGAAAAGCTTTCTTCTGCCAAGTCTTTTCACCATAAATTGTAGTTGTTAAGGACTGCGTATCAGTGACAAGTAGGTGACTAATACAGAAAATCAGTTCCAGAATTCTGAGATATGACTGAACCTGACCAGATGGTTTAGAAGCCTTTGGAACTGATGAGTGGGAGTATTTGGAAAGGTATGGAGATGAAGTTTAAAGTAACCTTGGAATGCTATAAGCAGAGCCTGATGGATGATATGGTTGCAGCTCTGAAGACCTGAACTTAGAGAGTAAAGATAAGGCTCTCAGGATTTCAGTTGAGAACAGGAACTTCATTAGTTGTTGTGCATTGTATTGTGGCAGAAATTTCATCTGCACTTTACTCATATCCTGAGAATTTGTAGAAGACTAAAATTAAGGTTGGTAGACTAATCTGCCAGATGAAATTTCAAGACAGTCTAAGTGCAAGGGCCTGAGTTCAATCCCCAGTTCTGCCAAAAAAAAATAATATTTTATAACTAAAATCAGTTAAAGCAATTAGGCTACTCACAACTTTAAATTTAAAGTTTAAATTTCACTTTCAATGCATGGCTTTTATTGGACTTTTAATAATTTTAAAAAGTCTGATTAGATATTATGTTTTCAGTTTGGAAAATATTTTATACATAGAAAGAATTATATTATTTGTGCAGATTTGGGGTTATATCATGACTTACATGACTAATTTATCAGTTCTCTCACTTGAAATAATTCATTTCATATCTCTAGGCATCATTGTTCTCATTTGTAAAAGTAGGATTCTAGTTTCTGACACAAAAACCACTGTAAGCATTCAATGGGAAAAGTACTGATGGTTTTGTCTGATATATAGTAAGCATTAAATGTGAGTTCATTTCTTCTTGTATACAGAGTCAACTCCAGGGATTTAGTTGGAGTCTATACTTTTCTGAGTTTACAGTATCCTCAAAGAAACACAGTTTTTAGGCAAGACTAGGTCTAGTACAGTAATTCTTACAGTGGGTATATTAAAGGCATTTGTTATTTGAAAAATGCATATTAATTATTATAGTAAACATATTTGGGAAAAAATAAAACAAAATTATTTCTATAATATGACCTGTAAGAATTATAGACCTGTAAAGTATTCTTGGCATTAAGGCACAAAAACACTTGGAAATCTTCAAATGCATAGGTAGATTTTCTATAAGTCAAGGATCTTATTCCTAGAAAGAGTATCAAGTCCACAATGACCTTGTAGTGAGATTTGTGTTTGTCAAAGGGAACCATGTTTACAAGATTAAAGATATTGAATGAACATTATTATCATTGTGCAATTTAGACTTTAAAACCCTCTCTCATGTTTATGTTTTGCAGTTTATCATATATTGTCATCTTTTAAAAATAATTGACAGCGATCCAAAAGTTGAAGCTATTATGATCAGATTATGTGAAAAAAATGTGGAGATTAAGAAAGATTATTTGGTTATCTTGATGATATGAACTACACTTCCAGAAGGTCCATTCTAGTTAGTCCCTTAATGTGCCCTATTATTTACTAATCCATGGCACATATCTCTTCATCTTTACCAAGTAGTTTATTTATTTATTTATTTATTTATTTATTTATTTTTGCGGAACCGGGGATTGAACTCAGGCCCTTATGCTTGCCAAGGAAGCGCTTATTCCACTGAGCCATCTCCCCGGCCCTACCAAGTAGTTTATACTCAAGTCATTTTATTACTAGGACCATCTGTTCTAAGCCCTCTCCCATTGTTATAGAGGAGATTACTGACACAAAATTAACACAACAACTTGCCCAGTGATACACAATAAGTTATTAGTACAATAGGTTATAATCTATATTTCTTGACTGCTTGTACATTGATAAATGGACTTCACACTGCTTGTAAATCATGTGAATCAATAAGAGAAAAACATTTCCTTGTAAAATATCTTGATCTGGAGTATAAATTACCTGCTTCTCCAAAAGTTTTCACATAGAGCAAAAATCATCCCTCACAAGCCATTGTCCTGAACTTATTGAAATTGTAGTTTTACAAATATCTCTGTCTTCTTTGCTGGATGTATGGCAGGGATATAACTTATTTGGCTTCTAGGACCCCTACTCACCTCAAACACAGCTAGTCACAAAGCACCACCATAAACCATCCAGAAATGTGTTCATTTATCTGCGGTCTTGTGCTATGTCACTGTTAGAGTTTGAAAAGTCCATACAACATGAACTCCACAACATTCTCAGATGGATCTCCCAAAATGCAACTGGCCAAAGAAGAACCTATGTTTAACCTGAATCATGGTAAAAATACTTGTCCTGAATATGTGACTTGATCCTCAGTGCAATTCAAGTTCCTTCACACTTCTGTATACCCGAATCTTGCCTAATTTAGATGTGAATAATTTTACTTTATTTAATTACTCAAATAAACTCCCTAGTTAACTGAAATGGCAGTGACCCCCCAACATCCATTTGAACAGCCAAAATAAGAATATCCTCATTTTCAAGATTCTTGAAACTGAGAATACTAGATCACATTGTTTCTCTTATATAAGAAAACCAGAGTACAACTAAAGAGCAAAATTAAATATAGGTAATAGGAATTAGGGAGATAGATCATTATCAAAGGGGAAGATGATTAAGAGATGGAGGAAGGGGAGAAAAACAAGGGATAAGGGATGGAAAAAGGAACTGGGATGAGTTATGCACATGTACCAACTCTAGACAATGAATGTAAACATGTACTAGAGAGACGTACCAGAAAAGCAGGAAGAGGTCAAGGGTTAAGTGGAAGTAGAGGGTGGGAAGAAAAAGGGGATTAAAAAAGGAATTAAGATGTGTTATGTACATGTACCAGCTTCCCCATAGGAATGTAAGCATGTACTAAAAATCTAAAAAAAGATAGAAAAAACATTTTCTCCTTAAGAAAAGTACAACAAAGTAATTTGTCACTCTATTTAAACTGATCCTGGACCCCTTAGTTTTGCAGAGTCCACTCCAAGAACCTCCCGAACTGGAAGTTTTTTTCAACTCAGTCAACTCAGCTCAGAACCAAAAAAGTGCTAACACTCTTTAACGGTAATAATCACTGAAAAGACAAATGTCTCACTTTAGGACTGTTCTATCAAATAGGGCTGAAGTTTACACACACACACACACACACACACACACACACACACACACTTTAAATGATCAAGTAACTCCTCTAGGAAGACTCTGAAATGATCTAGCATACTTTATCCTTTCCTAACCTAAAACCTACCAGGTTCCAAAGTATATTCATAATATTCTCTAGCAAATTCAAGCTGCTGTAGGCAAAGTGTGATGTGTATTATAAAACAGGTATTAGTTACAGCTTTGCCACTAACTATCTGGGTAATCCTAAGTGTCTTTTTCAATTTTAATTTTTTTATATTTGCATAATTTTATTGAAAAAGAAGTAGCAATGAAATAGTTTCAAAACAGGTTAGTAGTGCAGTTACAATAATTAATACATTGCATATTGTTGTCTTTGTAGTAGTTATTCCTAGTACAAGACCTAAGTGTCTTAATGCTCTCAGTATCTCTGGAAGCTAAACTAGCTAATTCAGTTATCTTATGTCTGAAAATATTCCGTCATTTTGTAAGTAGATAAACTATATACAGCAGAAATTCGTATCCCCCTTATCGGATAAAATTGTCAAATATTCTCAATAAGTTTCATTGAGGACAACTCATTACTTACCACTTTATGCCATCTTTCCAACTTCCACTCTATGAAGAGCCATTAGCAAGGAGTAAGATGCATCACAGACTTCATGGTCTTAGTGTGCTGGTGGGGATTGATGGCATTATCCCTAACTTTGGACTCTGGTAAGATACAAAAGCAGTCACCTTTGCTCACAGTGTAGAACTCTGAGATTAGAAGCAAGACACCATTTCAATTTCCCAACTTCGCTCTTGATCTTTATGTTCCCACAACACCTTCCATATGGAACCACCAACACCCAAAAGCTAGTCTGTGACTTACCCTGGAGCTAAACTGAGGTATGCACTCTTGTTTCTTTGCAACAAGCTGGAGCCAAAAATGCTTAACTATGGGCGGCACCCACATATCCTGTTGATAACCGAAAAACTGGTACTTGAAGGAGGAAGTTCAGTACGTTTGGTGTCACCACAGAAATCTTATTTGCGTGCACTGAACGTAAGTCCCCTGAGCAGTTTTACTTCTTTTTTATTTTCTTGGTACAGAGAAACTGAAACAGAAGAGAGTCAAAGGTGCTGCACAAACAATGAAGGCATATCAGCTTTCCTCACTACTTCCCAGCCTGTCTTCTGCCAAAACTCACATGCTTTTTTCACTAGATCGCACTAGTTGCTGTAAGAAGCTGAAATTTTCAAGCAAAACCTATAATGGGTTTAACTAAGAACATGAAAATTATTATTCCTTAAAGTTTCAGTTGAAAAACCTGATGAAATCTCAATAATAAAATCCAAAATTAAGAGTATGATTATTTTTGCTGACTACTCGATAGGTAGGTAGATAGATGATAGATAGATAATCCTAAACTTCTCTTAACCTCTTCACCTCTATGTTCACAATTTAATACTTAGCTGTTGGCATTTTCTTTTCTTTCTCTTTTTTTCTACCTACGATTGAACTCAGGACCTTGGACTTGCCGGGCAGGTGGTTATACCTCTCAGCTATCTCCCCAGGTCTGCTGGTATTTTCTTATCCTCTGACTGTACTATAAGCCATTAGCTAGAGAGCAAAGACTATGTCTCACTCAACTCTCCATTCCCATCTAGATCAGCCCTAGGGATTTTCATGGATGTTTAATGACTAATACAAGAAATGGATAAATGAATAATATTCAATGAATGCATAATTAAATAAATGTACATTATTTATTACAGAGTCTTTCTTGTGTAGCCAAATTCTGATAATTATGTACAGTGTTTATTGGATGATCACAAGTATGAAGGTAAATATCAAACTCTTAGAAACTATGTCCGCAGCAAAATCTAAGAGTAATTCCAAGAAACAAGGCTTACTACACAGCAAAACATCTATGAGAATGTAAGGAAACTACACTTAGAACCCAGGACCCTGAGCTGCAAAGAGATTTCTGGGTAATAACCAGAGAAAAGGAAGAAAGTAAAATTGTTATGTGTTAGGTAAAATGACAATATTTTGGCTTTAATAAAATATATATTTTATGTCATTAGTACATGTTTGTAATCCACGCAGCTTTTATTCATCTTGGGGAGTGGTTATATGTACATATTACTGTTTGAGCTTCTTTTTTCTAGTCACCATCCCATTCCCCTCTCCTCTTGTTTCCCTATCACCTTTTACATACTTTTTGATATTAATTGTCTTAGCTCATGTTATGGCACATAATGTTTGCACTGATTGGATTGATCATGGCCTTGTATGTGGCACCATTATTCCTCTCATTTTCCCTTCCATTCCTCCTCACCCCTTTTCCTTGTATTATATACAAAAAATTTAGCTAGAAATAACGTAGGCAGTCAAACAAGGCTAACCCTCAAGGAAGTCAATACAGAGGATGAGAACACAGTAAAACTATGCTGGCGTTGCATTTTTTGGAAGCCAGGCCTCAAGATAAAGACAGAAGGACCAGGCCTCTAAACTGCTCCAAAGGATAAAATAATTAGCATCGCTTGCCAAATAAAGACTAGATAAACAAGTGTATCCAAGTGACTGCTTCCTCTTTACATCAATATTGCCTAAGCAGCTTTAGCTGTAATCAATATTATTGGCTGATCATAACTTTGGCCCACATTGTACCTACCTATTAATTTTGCTCTATGAAACTTCCTTTGAGATGTGGGATCATTTATTTTCAGATCTCCTCCTGTCCTTAGAATTCATTCTTTGATTTTGAGGAACAGAAATTCAGTTTATCTGACATCTGGCTGGATGGAAGTTACATTTATTTCCCCTATGTCACTTGTCTCCTTACACCACTTCCCTATTGGATAAGTCCCCTTGTCCCTTTCTATCCATCCTTCAACATTTTCTTTGTACTTTACCTCACTCAAATGAGAGATATCACAGTATTTAAGCTTGTGTGTCTGATTTATTTCACTCGATATTACATTTTCCCAATGCATCCATTTTCCTACAAAATCCTCAAATTTGTCATTCGTTGTAGCAAAATAGTATTGCAATATATAATGGAATATAGACTAGGTAAACAACTTGTTTATCCAATCATCAGTTGATTGGTATACAGGCTACTTCAAGGATTTAGCTATTATGAATTATACTGTTACAAATATTTGGCATGCTTGTATCACTGTAGTATTTAAAGAAGATATCTAGCACAGGAAGAGCTGGGTAGTATGAAATTTCTAATTTTAGCTCTTTGAAAAATATGCATACAGGATTGCATAATGTTTGCACTAGTTTACGTTCCCACCAATAATGCAGGAGAGTTCCTTGTTCACACAGCAATGCCAGAATTTGTTATTGTTTGATTTCCTAAAGTTGCCATTCTTTGTGGAGTAAGGTAGAATCTTAGCATTGTTTTGATTTACCTTTCTCTAATGGCCAAAGATGTTGATCTTGCTTAATATATTTTTAACCACTTGCATTTCTTCATCTGTGAAATATTTATTTATTTCTTGTGAGCATATCTTAACTGTATCATTAAATTTATGTGGTTTAAATTTTTTTGAGTTATTTGTATGTTCTAAATAGTAGTCTTCTGTATGAAGAGTAGCTAGCAAAATTTTTTCCCATTCTGTATGTTTTCTCTTCATTTAACTGATTGAATCTTTTGGTATACAGAAGCTTTTTAGTCTAATATAATAACCTTAGTTGACCCATGCTGCTATTTCTTATACAATTGTGGTTCTGTTTAGAAAATCCTTTCTTACATCTATGCCTTCAAGTGTTTTACCTATTTTATCTTCCAGAAAGTTTAATGTTTCTGTTTTAATGTTTAGATCCTTCATTCATTATCTTTTTGTAGAAGAATGAAAGAAGGCAGTATTTAGACTCACCTATGGTCTTTAAAAAGTAAGAATAACAACATTGTTGTAAAAGGGAAAATGATCAGCAGTAGCTCTTGCTATAAAATGAGATTATTTTAGAACTAGATGAAACCATTCCCAACATTCAGGGATGTCCTGAAACTCTGAAGACAAATGAGAATGTGCATACTGCCCCTTCTTGCGACATCCAGTGAGGAGTATGCAGTCCTGAGAAGAGAAATGTTTAACTTCATGGGATGTGAATGTCTAAACAAATGGGGCCTGGGAGATAGCTCAATGGCTTAAGAGTGTAGAAAGCACAATGTCCTGAGTTTGGTCCCTGGTACCAAAAAAAAACCATATCTAAACAAATGAAAAAAACTAAAAAAAATAAACAAATGTATTTCAGAGAATTTCCATGAGAAGATAGTACATTCAGCTAAATAACTGATCATTTGTTTCTATAAGTTTTGAATTAACTAAAAAAAGTGAAATCTCACCAAATCTGTATGGCCTCTTTGGTTTCCACTGAGTCAAAACCATAAACAGGAGGAAGCCAAGCCAAGGTATTAGGTAAATAAGGCACATCTTTATTGACTCTATTTCATACTCTGTGTATTTGCAAGAACCTTAATGACTTCATGTATGTGACCAGGACTAATCATTGGGAAAATGCTGGTATAGGTAAAGATTATATTTTTGTGCCATCTTCCCTTACTAACTTTTAAAAATTAAGTTTATTGGTACATTTTAGGTATTCATAATGATCACATTCATTATATGGAATTTATACCTGTATGTGATATGTCTTGATTATCTTCCCCATTTTCCCACCCTCCCTACAAGCTCTCTTCCCTTCCTTATTTATAAAAGCTGTTTATATATATTTTTTTCTTATCTCAATTTTTTTCTTCTCCATTCCCTTCTTTCTGCATCTCCATTTCTAGTTCCCATTTTATAACTTCTCTCAGTGAGTTCATGATTCATGTACAGAAGGCTACTGACTATTGAATGTTGACTTTGTATCCAGGTATGCCACTGAATTAGTTTATTAAATCTAGAATTCCTTTTGTAGTGTCTTTGGGAGCTGCTATGTAGTATATCATATCATATACAAATAATAACAGTTTAAATTCTTTGTTTCTTATCCTCATCCTTTTATTTCTTTCTCTTTTCTGTTTGTTTGAGATAATGCTCCCAGAACTACACTGGATAGAGTGGTAATAGTGGATACTCTTGTTCTTCTCTTCATGTTAGAGTGAAAGCTTTCAGTTTTTGTCTGTTTAGTATGATGTTGGCTGTCAGCTTTTTTCAGATGGCTTTAATAGGCTTAAGACCATCTATTCAAATTTTCGGCAGGGCTTTAACATGAATTGATGTTGGACATTTCAAAAGGTCTTTCTGTGACTGCTGAAATGATCATGTGGTTTTTTGTCTTTGAGTCTGTTGATATAGAGGGCTACATTTTTAAATTTTTTTTACAGATATGTAGATATTGCATATACTTTTGTGCACATCTAGCTACATGTATGCATTTGTACTCCTAGTCATATTAATTTTCAATTTACAACTAGGTTAAATTTTAAAACTTACATATACATTATTTTATTTAATTCTGAAATCTATCACTTCCTAGAAACAGTTCCACTTGATTATGCTCTTAAATCAGACTACAAAGTGAAACTTGCACACAATCAATGACTGCCCTGAAAATAACCTAAAAATTTCAGAGTGTATATGTTTTGAATTTGCATATTCAGTCCAATCATTAATATGGATACACATATGCATAATACTTATAATATAATTAGTATAAATTTCCATCAAAGAGCTATTATTCATAAATAAGTCAGTATAATTAAAAACTTCATGTTAAAATATTTCAACAAGTACATTCAAATTCCAATTTGTCAATTCTTCCTATTTACATCTTCTTTCTATCTTTCTTTTTTTAAATGTATTTATTTGTTATAGGGTCTTGCTTTGAGGCTCAGACTCATAGGTACTTCTCCTGTCTCAGCCTCCCCAACACTGGTATTACAGGTGTGCACCACCACTCCCAGTTTTGGTGGCTGGCTGGTGTGTGATACTGGGTAT